AATATTGTACAAGAACAATATTACCTCCCGAATAAATCTGTATCACTGAGAAACGAGTTCAACAGAAAAACAATTTCCTAACATCATTTGCATTAATATCACCAAATCATTCAAAAATGAATTTCTGCCAAATGTTTAACAAACATCAAATCAAACTTTTTAATGTTCAAAAACAGACGTTTTATTAGCAGATTTTCAAAATTTATCAAATCAATTTATAATTCCACTTCTATAAACTTCCACAGAAATCCTTTGTTGGAAATAATGTAATTCATCGAAGTATGCACAGATAAAAATTCGTTGGAAATTAATTCGTCTATTTGCATTAAAAAATGGAGAAAAGGAAGTAGTCATAGAAAATACTTCAAACGATTGTAGAATTGTTTTTACTAAAAATAAAACAGTTTTAGCATTTTGATGGAGATCGATGAAGAACAGTTTTCCGACAATTATCGAATGATTGCTGTTGATCTTTAATATCTCGACCACAATTGGGTGTAATACAATAAACAAAATAAGCAACAAATTTTCAAGATTATTGAAAAAGAAGAGAGTTCACAAAGGTCCCTTATCAACTTGTTTGACGAAATTTGGTGTCAAAAATCTTTTCATCATGGAAGCGGCAACAAGCGTAGGAACCCAATTCCCATCTCTACAAACTAATTCTTCCTTAATTAACCAAATGCAAGATTCAGTTTTTTTAGACCTTTATGTATACTACCACTTAAATTCCAGAAAAAAGACCTAAAGTCTTTGATAAATGTTAACAACCCAATTACAATTGCCACTCACTTCAACGCTCAGTAATGTAAAAATGATTCAGTGCAATGAAATTATTCTAATCGGTTTGAAGTGGACGACTGACTCGCCTAGTGCAACAGATTCAACTTCATTCGAAAAGGGTAATGGATTGGAAATTGGCTCTCTTCACTAAACACAAAGCCTGTTGACCCGGGAAATAGACGGAATTTTCGTACTGTGGAGTCTTACGTTTTCGATTTATCAAATGTATGAACTAACACCACTGTATTATTGGTGGAGTCATTGGTAGCATTTCAATTGTAATACACAAATTTTCGCACAGGAACAAATTAATTTATGCATTCAACGCTGAAAACTTTGTACAAATGCAAGAGTTATTTTTAGAAAAGGATAAGAATTTAAATCAACTAGTAGGATTGTCGCCATGTATATGATAATGTAGATGGGCTGAAACATCAGCCCCTCATCTATTATCTTTTACAAGTTTCGTGGCAATAATCCAATGAAATATTTCTTATACAAGATATTTATCAGAGTAGGACAGAATGAAAGTGTTCAGTAGCGGATACTGGCAGGCAGAGGGACAACAAACAGCTTGCAAGATTCATCCTGACCATAGCAACATTTCATTCAACACGGATTCGTCGGTTACCAGAATTGACAATCAACCGCTCTGTCATCTCCTTCTGAAAAATTCGTCCCACATGTGCAAAAATCATATAGAACCTCAAAAATTAATGTTGACATAATTTGACCCGTTCTGTAATGGCATATAAGGAAAAAAAAACTTGCCAGCGCATCCAGCTCACGCGATGAAACCATCTGATGTTCAGTGATAAAATAGTAAAAATGTTTATATAAAGTGTTTGCGTGAGGTTCCTAAAATAATAGCTTAAATCACCATCTTTTAGAATATCATAATCATCCAACCACTATCAAACGTTTATATTGTAAATTATTTCTAGTCATTGCTGAGTAGAAACTTACAGCTCCCAATTGTGATAATCGATCGAAGTGATGTATATAAATATGGACAAAGACTCGGAACAATCTTGTCAATATCTTTTTACACGTTTGCCGGAAGTCTCGTGGGAACGGGACCTCTGTAAAATGCAAATCGTTTGAGTTACAATCATCACCCAAAACTAAGACCGTGTTGGTTGAAACCGAATTGAATTATATTCGTCCAAATTCTACAATCTTTAGATTAAATCGATGCTTCTTACCAAAAAAAGTTAGTACCCGTATTAGAAGGAAAGATAGCTTCATTATTTATCCGTATCTCAATCCAGTCCATCAAAAGAAATATGTATTCAGGAGCAGGTAATCTTGTTGGTTTTTTATAGCTGACACCGTCCTGCCAAAGATATTCATACCTACGAAGTAAAGAATTATAATTTTAGTTTCGAGGGAAAAAATGAAGGAAATTACAATACGAATCCACTATTTAATTTTATCGCCATCCTGACATATCATAACGTCAACTCTTGCAACGTTTCATTCTCAAACTTCAAGGGTATTGTGCACGACTCAAAAATTTTAAACTATAACATTACCGTGACTTCTTTCTGATATTACTGACTGCTGACACAGATACAAAAGCTGATTTTTAATCCTCGACCTCTAAAATCTTCTAACACGGAAGCAAAAATTAACTTGCCGAGGTCCACCACTCATTGTGGGGCAAGATTTTGCAGTACAAACGTCTGATATTATGCCATATAGAAGATTTATTCGATTGAAGAAGTCCACTGCTGCAACTTATCCACACCATCAATTAAAGTTCGCTGTGACCATAATGCTCAATTATGAAGGACCAAACTTACTGTGGACAGCTAACCAGTCTTCAAAGTTTTCGTCAGGTGGCAATCGAACAGCTGCTTTCAAATCTAAACCCGAATGCAGTGTAGCCTGAGCTTGCTTATGCAGATTATATCGTAACGTTCCAACTGGAAATTTTTTTTTCGGTCGAAATGTCTGCAAATTTACCAAAAAATAGTGAGTAAACAAAGTTTCCTCAAAACAAGTTCGGAAGACTATGAATACACAGGAACTGAGTCCACCGCAGCTGATACGCTGTTTATTTTCCAGTATAACTCATGACCTTTTCAATCGATACTCTAATAAAAACATATTTCGTCAGTGACCATTCTTTTTCTGAGAAACTGCCTGATCCGAAACATCCAACACAAAAATAGACACAATTACTTTACGAACATGCCGTAGAAGTTATTTCGCTTGAACGCAATTCATGAAAATCTTTGAATAAACCAACCTTATCCTTGTTCATCTGCAAAAAATCCAGGAAACTAGCCATAGTTATCATAAAACCGTGTTGCTCCCTGTTTTGTCACCAATTCCAGCAAAAATTCATAAATTTAATCTAGGAAAAGAAATACGTGAAAGTATGTATGTATTCTTAGAAATGATTCGCCTGCGAACTTATCCTCAGTGTTAATGTAGTAAATTAACAAAAAAGAGGAAAAGAACAAAAAACAAAACTTTTTTCTGCTGAAAATTCCGCAATATAGGAAAGTACGTATGACTGCATTCGTATATACCCACGCGAAAGTTCCGACAAAAAAGATTTACCCTTAATTATGCTGTTCGACCAGATTTTCGAGAATAAGCTTACAGCTAAAGCACCTAATTTCTCTGGCTACCTCGCGTCACTGCTTTACCTTAACAGTAACTGACTCAAAAGCCTTAACCTCATCCCACCAGGACAACAGCACATCACCGATGACAACACAGGTTCTACTAACGCAGTACAGTTTTGAATAGGAAGTTCAAAGAAAAGTAATACTTCTTTTAAGGAGATTTCCAAAATATACAGATATCCATTAAGTAGTGTGATAAGTACATTCTTGTTTAATACGTTTTAATTCCAGAAAATCCTTAACTCGGGCTATTTATCAACATGATAAGTTAGTTCAAGATCCAAAATCTTCAATTTCCTGCAACCACAACGATACGAATTGAAGCAGCAAAAAAGGGAAATGATCGACGTCTCGTTTCGGTTCGGTTTCATATGAATGTGAATATATGTGATGGCAATTGACAAACTCGTCTTATTCTCATACCGCGGTATTCTGTTCCAACCATCTTTTTTCAGTCCTTATCTATCTCTCCATTTCTTCCACCACATTATTCTCCCGCCTATTCCTATGAAAGTGAAACTGATATCTATTCACCTCCCTCGATTCTTGCAACTCTCCGTACCACTCAAAAATGACAAACCCTTCACCTGTTCCGCACCCTTTTAAACCCCACCGCTACTCACTATGCCTGTTCACCCGACCTGAACTTGACGATTGAATTCATTTTAACGAGGAGCGTAATGCAAATCGTGAACCACCAGTTTTTGTTCCGGCTTGGTGGGTAACGTCTAGAGTGTGTTCTCAGATTCTAGAACAGGCTTTATATAGGGATAAGTTTCCTGCGCTTCGGAATGCGTCACCTAAATTCGTGGATATGTGCTGTGCATTCTCAAGACGATTCATCCCTTATTTGACTAAGTAGAAGATGAAGCGTGATATGATGTCTTCGCATGTCTGACGAACCATCATCATCAGTGATAGGAGGTCCTCTTTGCACTACGTTTCTATCCAAAGAAATCTACTTGCAAACATCTTTGACTGTAATAACCTTCCTACCCACCGGCTGACCTTATCTCACTTTGCTTTGCATTGAATCATCTGTAATTCATGTCAGGGAGACTGAGCGATATTAGTTTATTGTATTAAAATAAAACCAATTATTACAAGATTAGATAATGAAATGCAAGACCATTAATGCAGTGTTAGCTGGAGAAAATAATAATCATATGTTTATCACTGGCAAAATCTTAAGGCTTTTTAGTGCAACTAGTCAAGTGAAACTGTCTACAAGCACAACATCCATTGCAAAAAATGTTTTAACCAATTATGCTGGTTAATGCCCAAGGCTTCTGAACGATTCTAGTCGAAATGGAATTGATTCAGCACACCCATCAATGTAATACCAATCAAAAAACACATCCACTGTAAAATATTTTGCCTGAAATTGGGCCAAATAATTGTATGACTGAATAATGAAGCATGTCCTACAGGCATTAATGAGTAATCACCGAATTCGTTGAATAAAGCTATTCATACAATCGCTAATTGTCCAAAATATCAATTTTTTTTAGAGTCTAAAGTGGTTGCATATTAACATCTATATCTAGTCGAAGCTATCATTCGAAAAAAAAAGCACAAGGTAGACTGTTTCTTTGGTCGATAGTAATAACAGATTAGCACCTTAAATCAGTCTCCTTCATTAGCTCGGGTAGTATTTGGACGAGAGCAATATTGATAAAACCACCGGCAGTAAATGGCAAAATGTTCTGAGATGGTCCATTTATCGCACATTCGGTATGCAAAAATAAAGCTGTGCATGCTCCTAGAGCACCACCAACTGCGGTCAACAACTGCAACAACCAATGGAATCAGTCATAATTTTGGAATTGACTAACAATACGACTTTTTTCACGTCTTCATTACACGATAGTTTCTTGAAGGATCTCACATATCTTCAAAATAGTCAAGGCGTACATGAATATGACTAACCTGGGCTTTAACCGCAGACCATCTGTTGAAATTGGCGCGAAGTAAGATGGCAAAATCGCTAATTTCATGGGGTAACTCATGGATAACTATTGAGAATGCCGTCAACAAACCAAGCTGCAGACAGTTATCTTCAGTTTTATAAATCTATTTGTAACAGTTTGTTTAACATATAGAAGAGTAATTCCGCCACCGCACAAATCAACTTAATTAATATTAAAAAAGCAATAAAGTACAGCAAAGTATTAGTAATATTGGTTAATAAATATTATAGCACTCCCAGGTTGAAGCAAAATATCAAATTTTATATATCTTCGCCACTCCTATCAAATGAACTCGTTTTATAGACGAATGTTAATGTTTCTCGCAAAATTTGTAGAAAAAAAAAGTTATGAAACGAAGAACTTCAACGGTAACCTTCGTGTCCATTAGAAATGAGCCACCAACGGCTAACCCGTGAGTGAAATTGTCCATAAAATTGGCGACAAGATTTAATATGGCGCACATCTGCAAAGATATGAGATACCTTCATTTAGATTTTTTTTTAAACTTTAACACAAAAACCATCTCCTTGAGCTACTATTCGCTTTTGGAGACAAAAACTGAAAACCGTAGTTTTCTAAAATAGTCCTATCTGTAAGGGGTTATGATCATGGTGCAATTCATTGTCATACTTCATCGATAATTTTTGAATTTTTGCTAGAATAAATGCTGCTGAAGACATAGTTAATTAAAGAACTTACTCTGCGTTGGCTAGATTCATTTGTTGAACAGAGCTTCTCCAGCATGAAGCAAAACAAAACACCTGCTGTGGTCCAGACACCTGCTGTCAACCTATCCGCTGTAATACAAAAATTATATTGTCACTTATTTGCATCACTGTAATGTATTGCCAGAAATTACATATTCAGAAGTAAACAAAACCTTGAGTATCTGCCCAAACAGTTGGAAGTAAATGGAGGAACACATCACCAATCAGACTTCCAACAGCAAAACTCAACAGCAAATGTAAGCTTCGGCGACCATCTGAAACATACATTCCGCAAAACAGAAATGTTGTGAGGATATCATGCACAAATGAATTTTCAGTACAATTCAGCATGATCTTTTCTCAGCTTGTATGAATCAGTAATTCAGAGAATGTTCATTTGTCTTGGGTTTGAGAGTTCGAGATTTGCATGTTTAGAAAAAATTTATTTCCATTTTTCCACACACACACACACACGCACGCACACACACACACACACACACATACGCACACACACACACACACACACGCACACACACATAGACATACACATACACAAATACCTAAAAAGTGGTAAACATATATTTTCAACGTAAAAGAAACTTACAGTTTGACTGTAAAAATTCCGTGAAATCATGTGGTAAAACAAAGGCAGGAACAACGCCGCATGCAATAATGCAAATGCAAGCAAGCATTATCCACAGATAGGTATCCCATGAAACCACTTCCTTACCATCTTTTTTGGCTATTTGTTGGAAAAGTTCCTTTTCCTCTTGCAGTTCTTCTGCATACCTATGAATTTAGTTAGAAATATTAAATTATACAAAAAGTATTGAAAGTAAAGATTCTTGTCTTCAACTAAGAACCATTGCTAGGCTAAGTTCATGCTATTGGAACTATTAATTTACGTTGATAATGACTCAATGTTGAACAAGTAGATGGAAAGAAATACTGCAATAATGCAATAAAAGTGCGCATGCAATAAGAAATACAATTAATTAATCACTAACTAACGTCTCCTTCTAGGAATAATGTGACTTTCGAAAGCTTGACTAAAAGCTTCTACAAAGCTTTTACTAGCGATATCGTATTGCCATTCTTGACATTGGAAACTATTACTTTTGTTCCAACCGTCTGGGAAAAGCAACGATACGCCCATCCGGATCAATTAATGTGTCCGGTGGTATGTTATTGCGGGTGTTTAGACTTTCACCAGTTTTTTCGAGAGTAGTAAGAAACATTTTTGGCAATACATCATTATCGCCAAGGTCGGGTGCCGGTAGTTGATCTAGCTCTGAAAGACAAATACTGAAAAGGATTTTCTGAATTAATCGATTAAATATCATCTTCAACTTATTTGAAATATCATCTTTAACTTATCTGATAAAACTTTTAATCGTTGATGCATTGGTATTGTCTATTTACAGTAACCGATAATTAGTAAACATCATTTGGACTCTACCATTAAAACCAGATCAGCAATACCGGAATGGGTAGAAAGAGCCATTATTTTTGCTTGAAACATTTCATCTTCAGGAATAGAAAATGTTGAGCATGGAAAGGGGTGAACAGTTTGCTAATAAAATGACTTTCTAAATGTAGAGTTTTATCTGAACACTGTATCAGATGTGTATATTAATCCTCAATTATGAAAGTAATGAACCAAAAAACGAAGAAATTGATTACGTTGTTCGAGAAGTACTTGTTGAGCACTGATAGGAATAGGACACAATAGAAGAGCAATGGATAATAATAGCAGTAGAACTGGTCGATTTGCCATAACCAAATGGATCTATAGATTTTAATTTTATTTTAATTCTTTTACCCTACCGCATGCAATTAACCATTTTTGTACGTAACTCGAAGAACTTCATTCATGCACAATGTGGCGCAATTGTCTTTATAACAGGTATTTCATGCTATCCAACGACTTTCTGGATCTAGCAAAATAACAACAAGGAACTGGGATAGATATATTATGTGGCCAAGGAACAGTATGGATGACAAAGGAATAAGGATCAGTGGCTGTAACATAATGTAAAATCTTATGCCTGGAAAATCTTTTCCAACAGAAAGTAATAGCCTCGTATATATCAGGAGATTCGGTGAATTACGTAAAGTGAAAGAGGAAAGAGTTGGGAAGAATTCTACGGAGCATGGAATGGAATGATGATTACGTGAACTGAAAACCAAGAGGTTAGCATGATGCAAGACTTTTAGAGATTATCAGGATTACAAAGAGTGGTGACTAAGAATAAGAAACGGGATGAGAGAAGGGATTATAGGTTATTTACATTTTCATGTGAAGAACAGTACTAGGAAGGAGATTTCTTTGCAGGGGATCGATTCCATTCCAGATTAGAAACAAGTTTTTCGAAGGAATTGAACCAGGATGCTCGTATCAACAACAAATTGCAGTCAGTACCTTCATTTCCTTTAAACTTAAATCTAAATGGAAAAGGTGAAATTTACTGCTGTCCACTCAACAATGCATCAATTTCGGTACACTTATTGTATTCATTTTGCATTCATGCATGCATGAATTAAACGTGGATATAGGTGTGTTTGTGTGTTGCACATTCTGTTGCAGTCCGAATCAAACACATTTGGAAGATCCCAAACCAGCATTTAATCATCTGGGAGTGATATATCTTCTATAACATTCTGATTCTAATCTTTAAATTGAATTAAAGATTAGTTAGGGATGTATTATGCTGTCTACAGTAACGGTGTCCAAAATAAAGATAAAGGTAAGTGTTAAACTAACATAAATAATTGGCGCAAAATACAGAAATATCTCTGTCATTCCAAGATGGACAAGACTGAAGGGAGCGTGCTGAAACAGATCAGACTACAGTACTCTCCTTCGATCAAATTTCCAGTAGTTAGCTAATCTTAGTAAAATCGATATATTATAGTATAGTGTTGGATTCAGTTTTTCTACCGTTTCTGATGGTCCAACTAGTTTGCCTAGCGAGTATTCTTTAAACACAACGAAAACAGAATGGATTATCAGAAGTAGAAGGAGGTAACAAGCACTTTTATATGATAGAAATCCGGATATTTGAAATAGGATCAAGAGGAAAAAAGAGAAAAAAAAACAGTGTAAAGCACATTTTAATATTAACACCTTAAAAATAACTCATCAACTCCCTGAACCTGTCATAAATACTGAAGCGCTATCGGTATAAGTGCATTTGGTATGAAGTCTCTCTGTCAATTATGGAAACAGCAAGCATTCGCACTCAACCACTGGAATAACAGAATAGCATTACTAACTTCTTTCTAATTTGTTCATTCGTCTCCTTTTCATGTCATCGTCTTCTCATTCTTTTACAAAACGATTATTACGAACGACAATTTTTTTCAAATTTGACAAAAATACTTTTGAAACGACAAATTTTTCTTCTCAATAGGTTTCCTCACTGATGTACTAAATAATCTTACCGGACAAATCATTCAGCGAAATTTTCATTACTAGGAAACTTTAGAAATCAATTTCATTTTTTCATTATAGCAGAGAACAAGTGTCATAGCAATATTTAATATCTTTGATTCTGTAAAGAATGTTGTAAACCAAGCTTACTGCCAGTATTAGAAAATAAAAAAATTGTCATACGCGGTTCGACGAGAAGCACTGCTACACCGTTTGACCCTATTAATCTACTACTGACTGAGGTTACCTGAACTTACCTGGAATAAATAGTTCAGTTAAGAGTAGAACTGGAAAAGCTGTTAAGAAGTTGTACGACGCAATCTTGCGAAATTTTCAACAGATCTTTCAGAAGTTATGTACATAGTTACTCAGAAATCCTTCAAATCCGTCTAAAATTCGGTGCCTCAATACTTCTCAGTATTAACAAATCCTTCTAGTGGAAATTTTAGTATTACTGATTTTGCAAGGTTTTTTTCCGTCGGATCCATTCTTATTTAGTTAGTAGAAACAAAGAAAGCCATCAGGAATCAGTTAAACTTTGGGAATGGATTAATTTTGCTCATCCCTCTTTTTCAGCTTCTTATTAATTAATTGTTATCGAGGGCAACCTAAGATAGCTGTCTAGTGTACCGTGTATCACGTACGCTGCATCGATGTGAAAAAAAAAAAATAGATGAAGCGAAGTGATGCAGGTCAATGGCTGATATACAGGAAAAAGGTGAAGTGGAGTAGAACAGGGGGACGCGGTTGAACGGGATGTAAAAGAAAAAGAAGATCGGATAAGAAGGACAGCTGAGATGGAGAAGGAAGATAAGCTGACTTCATATGATGACGACAAGAGGTGTACGAAATACAAACGGGAGAGAGGATGTGAAATGTTGTAATGTGAAGAGGTGCATAGAACAGGCTGTGGTTTCCAATCGAGGGACACAAGAAATAGGAAAGAGAGAAGTCGAAGGAAAATGGGAGCATAACACCCCCGCTACTTTATGTTTAAAATGGTACGAAATTTTGAAATTTCGGTATAGTTGCTCACATCAATAAACAAGTATTAACGCACTATGATAATGACAACAAGAAGTGGCAAATGGGTCGATCACTTTTACTATCCTTATTCAGCTGGATAAGTTGTAGCAACTTGCTAACTTGAACAATCAATGTGGAATTTATTTGGCTTAAGGATTGATAATCAAATTCCTATAATGTTTTCTACAGCTGCATATTGAGCATACTAAAGATAAGAAAATGGAATAGAAGGAGCTAATCATTTATGAGGAAATGATAGATGTTATGTCTCAGGATGAAAAGCGTAAAAACGTCACCCTATACTGCAACATTTTTACACGAATAAAAAGAGAGAGAGAGAGAGAGAGAGAAACATCAAAAGCTATCTAAAAATTAGAATAAGAACTGAAAATTGTATACTTGATTTAACAACGTCTCTCACCCTTTTTTTGCATTAACTTTACCCTACATAACAAATATGCAATAAGGAAAGATCAAATGGATTACGGATCAAATAAGGAAAGCATAATGTAGAACAAAAAGTACGAATACTACCAGAAACAATCAACCTTTATTTCCCGCTTTACGCAGCATATTCCCCCTCCTCCCCGCCTATCTCTCCTATTCTTATTTGGTAGCACGCCCAGCCAACACGATTGCAAAGGTCGAGTTTGCCAAGATCATTATAGATATCAATGGGACCTTTAGAGATCGTAATATTGAGTCGGGATTTTTCAAAGAGGACTAGTTAATACATTTCCTCTGAGCTCTGCCCGAAACTGTGGCAGATCACATTTTACGATATACCCACTTCGGAACTTTGGTTCACTCTCGTTAACCGGGTTACCTCACTGTATTTCCAAACTGTTGTTACCTGGTTTTTGTATAAGCGATACTGTGGGTACGTTTTTCATAAGTTTTGGACATTTGATCTAAACTACTGAAATACACTGAAGTTTTTCTCTTACTTCTTCTGCATTCTTGCCGTTAAACAAGAAGGTTCCTAGTAGTTTTAATTTTCCAACAAAATGTCATCAGCCCAATCGTCCTAAGAAAACCTTTATTTACAATACTTTTACAAGTGAACGAACAATGATTTTATGTGAGAGCAAAGTGCAGATGAACTTATGAAAAATGTTCATTTGCATACAACAACAAAAACTACCCTAAACAGCCACAAATCAAAAACAGGTGAATGAGCAAATAATGATAATACACTGATGGTCATCAAAGAACAATCGAACGCGCCAAGAGCATTACCAGTGCACTGAGAACACCTGCAACAGACCATATCCTAACCTTAGTAAAAATAAACTTTTTTAGTATCCTTAAAAAGATATTAACCAGCCGTAGGATTGAAGTAAATTGTTATCCAGCTGAGTGTACGCTTCCTTCGGAAGGCAGATGTCCTTCCGTATCTGACATGCAATTGTGCCAGTCATGCGATGTAGCCCATTTAATAATTAGACCTAACTATTGCTGCGATTCCACTAAAAACTACCGTTATTTTATGGAATTTAAGAAAAAATGAAATTAATCTGAGGAGAGAAATAGAAATAAAAATAAAGACTATTACCCGTAACAGGCAAAGTAACAAGCCAGGACAACGATATGTTCCGAAAAGTAGACCATTTCACAGAGCCTCTTGCCTGTACCACACCTACTGCTACCACACTGCCAACCTGAATGTTACAAAGGTTTATCAAAATGATTCGCGCAACCTAAAAAGTTGCAATTGAAGGCTTTGATTGACTTTAACACAAAAATGTTTTTGTCGAAGTGATAAGAAGTGGCATCACAGCACTACATGCTTACTATCTTAGGCTATATGTTTGTGAAATGGATTTATAATTGGAAGATTACGAAGGACGGTTGCGACAAAAAATAAATGAAAAAACCTTGCACTGTGTGGAGCTTATTGGAAGACCAAATTTGCTTGAAGCTAATACTGTTACAGCAGCACCAAATTCGATTGCAAAACCACTGAAATCGAAATTTTAATTGGAGATTTTAAAAGAATGAAGTCGAACCAATGAAACATTTGGATTTCACAAGAAAAAATACGGAAATTTGAGAAATGCAATGTTGATGAGTGGTATTGACAATATTTGATCAATAAAAGAGTTCTCTCACCCTACCTTGGCGGTGTAATTTTGGTGAGATTCTCACCAACCGTATAGATAACCCGATGTCCCAATACCCAAAGACCAACGCACATACCACCGGCACCGTAAAGCAGAAGCCAAACAGGTGTTGTAGATCTTTGCATCGCCGAATTCTCCTTGTAAATGGCATACAGTGACACGAGCGGGGCAATTGCGTTGCTAAACATTAAATTTCCTAAATGAAACCACAACAGCTGGGTATTTTGTAAACTCTGACCAATTACTAATTATTATTATTATTATTATTATTATTATTATTATTATTATTATTATTATTATTATTATTATTATTATTATTATTGCTACTATTATTATTATTGTTGTTATTATTATTGTTATTATTATTATTATCACTGTCTTTATTGTTATTATTACCATTATTATTATTGATTATTGATTACTGATTTTAAACCATTGCTCAATTTTCATCTCCATTTTAATTCCCTAACATTTATCAAAATCATAAAATCAGAATTTGAATCCTTTAATGGCTCCAACTGTGTATGTCAAGAAAATTGTTATTTCATTGGTCTGAAGCA